AGCCTGTGGCAGGGTATCACGACCATCACTGACTACAAACCTCCACCACAGACCTGTGACAGTGACACCTCTCGGCTGAACAACCTCAACGGCTTCTTCGCACGCTTCGAAGCACAGCACACCTGCACAGAAGACAACGCCTCCACCCAATGACCAGGCTATCTGTCTGTCCCCAGGCAGTGTGAGGAGCACACTGTTAAGGATTAACACCCAGAAAGCTTCTGGGCCTGACAACATTCCTGGTCGTGTGCTAAAGGACTGCACCGCTGAGCTCACAGATGTCCTCACAGACATCTTCAACATCTTCATAACACCCCACACACACAGACACTCAAATCCAGCACCAGCCACTTTTCTTTTTTTGCTATGGACAGTCTGGCACTAATGTACATTCTCAAAGATATTGAAGTGACTATTATTTTTGTATATATTGATTGTTGTGCTTTTATTTAGGTCTTAATGTGTGCATATGTATAAATGTGTCTTTGATTGTGTATATATAGGTTTACACATACTTGCAAACATATTTTTACACTGAACAAAAATATAAACGCAACACTTTTGTTTTTGCTCCCATTTTTCATGAGCTGAACTCAAAGATCTAAAACATTTTCTATATACACAAAATAACCATTTCTCTCAAATATTGTTCACAAATCTGAAAAAATCTGTGATAGTAAGCACTTCTCCTTTGCCGAGATAATCCATCCCACCTCACAAGATGCTGATTAGACAGCATGATTATTGCACAGGTGTGCCTTAGGCTGGCCACAATAAAAGGCCACTCTGAAACATGCAGTTTTGCTTTATTGGGGGGGTCCGAAAACCAGTCAGTATCTGGTGTGACCACCATTTGCCTCACGCAGTGCAACACATCTCCTTCGCATAGAGTTGATCAGGTTGTTGATTGTGGCCTGTGGAATGTTGGTCCACTCCTCTTCAATTTTCTACTGCAACACTCCCCACGTAAATACACAGTGTGACAGTTAAAATGAAGGCTCGATAATCAGCTCACGGCATATAGGTGTAAGCAGGGGTCAAGTGCTATTTTTATAGGTGGTGTGTGGACCTCACACAAGCAAGCTCCCCCGGGAAGATTTATTTTAAAATATTTTAGTTAAAAGCATCAATCTGGTGCACTTTGAGAGCAAAATGAAGAGATCTATGGATACATCTCTCAACACCCAGATGAAAGAGAACTGTTAACAGATTTACTTTTTCTTTATGGATATTTTACAAATCACCCTTTTAAACTTTATTCTTTTTTTACTGTCATATAGTATTTCATACCCGTTTTTAATTTATTCTCTTATTTTTTTATAACTATAATGATCATATAAACGTGTGCCTCGGAAATAATTGTTTATATTAATGGTGATCAAAACGTTTGAGACCCACTGAGATAACACAGAGTCCTTTAGTTCACTGAGTCTCTCAGTCTGACAGGAGAGGACTCTCCTCCACTTTGTTGGTGAAAAAACTCCTTATCTCCGGTACCGGTGCGCTCTCTCTCTCGCGCACCCACACAAAATGGCTACCTACACACACACACACACACACACAACACACACACACAACAACACACACACACATCCAACAACACACACACAAAACACAACAACACACACAAAAAACAACAAAGCACACAAACACCACACATCACAACAAACACACACATCACACACACAACACAACACACACACACACAACACACAACACAACACAACACACACAACATCACACACACACACACACACACACACACACACACACACACACACACACACACACACACACACAACACACACACACACACAACACACACACACACACACACACACACACACACACACACACACACACACACACACACACACACACACACACACACACACACACACACACACACAACACACACACACACACAAGCTTTAATGAAACACAGAGACCCAGACGTAATAGTACTGCATCATATTATTTTCGAATCAATAATATTTCAAATTATGATTTTTTTTTTTTTAATCTTTTTTTTTAAATAACCATTTTTCCTCCTAGTCTCTCTCTCGGCACTGTCATGCCTCTGCGCCCCCCACTTTGGGAACCACTGGCGTAAAGGAAAGAATGAATGGGGCCACGTATCGTGAGATTTTGAGTGACAACCTCCTTCCATCAGCAAGGGCATTGAAGATGAAACGTGGCTGGGTCTTTCAGCATGACAATGATCCCAAACACACCACCCGGGCAACAAAGGAGTGGCTTCGTAAGAAGCATTTCAAGGTCCTGGAGTGGACTAGCCAGTCTCCAGATCTCAACCCCATAGAAAATCTTTGGAGGGAGTTGAAAGTCCGTGTTGCCCAGTGACAGCCCCAAAACATCACTGCTCTGGAGGAGATCTGCATGGAGGAATGGGCCAAAACACCAGCAACAGTGTGTGAAAACCTTGTGAAGACTTACAGAAAACGTTTGACCTCTGTCATTGCCAACAAAGGGTATATAACAAAGTATTGAGATGAACTTTTGTTAATGACCAAATACTTATTTTCCACCATAATTTGCAAATAAATTCTTTAAAAATCAGACAATGTGATTTTCTGGATTTTTTCTTCTCATTCTGTCTCTCATAGTTGAGGTATACATAGGATGAAAATTACAGGCCTCTCTCATCTTTTTAAGTGGGAGAACTTGCACAATTGGTGGCTGACTAAATACTTTTTTACCCCACTGTATGTATGCATTGTGTGTTTTATCAATATCATTTTTGTATATTATGTATTGCTCAACAATTTAAAATAAATACAAAAAAAAAAAGAAGTAAAACGAAGAGTCACAGCCCCGCTGATCACCTAAAGAGAGCTACCGAGTTTCATTAGGGCCTGAACACGAAGTGTGCGAAGACCTATTGTAATGCATAGAATTATTATTATAATTCTTTATAGTCTGGGGATTGGACCTGTTTTTGAGGGGGTTACAACACTATTCATGTAGCGACATTTGGCAACGCCGCCAGGACGGGTGAACAATGTTACATTCCGGAGTCGATGGGTGCAACATTTCCAACATGCTCGCTAGTGCCACCTGTGAAAATTCAGTTTACGAAAAATGTACATAATCGCAGCGTAAGTCTGACGGACCTGAAAATTGGCACACTTATCCGGGTGGAGCTGCTCTACATATTATCCTTTCGTATCCCGAAGCTCCGCCTACTTTTTTTAATTAGCATAATGTGAAATCCAGTGAAATATTAACTTAAATTTCCATTTTTCAATTTTCAACACCAAATGTAGTGTACAACATCAGTGGAGGATCAGACACATTACCGTAGAAAATGAGTACGAGGTGTGGAAAAATGTGGCCGACATCAATCGAAACGTATTAGCAAAAAGGTGTGGCCTAGACATAAATGCTCACAATTCATCCGAAATGTATCCAAATATCACAGATTTCGGTGGATAGGTTCAGTCTGTATTGGGGAATAGGCACAAACAAGCATGTTCATTTTGGACAATAGGGGGTGCCAAAAACACAACAAATGTATACCTCAAGAACGGATGGACAAAATAAATATAATGGGCGTATCCTATTCAGTTTTTTCTCGAAATCGAAAGGTTAAAAACACTTACGGACACATAACTTTGTGTTAAAATGAGTTACAACCTTAAAACTCGGAACACACGTGACAGCCCACAACCTTTTCCAGACTATACATTACGTACATTTGAGCAAATACGGCTAAGTAGCGCCCCCTATTGTGCGGTAGTCAAACTTGGCACAGACATTCCTCATGGAATTGCGGACATATTTCAAAATGGCTTCCATTATCCCCGTCCCCCATAAAGTCGGCCAATTAGAAAAATGTGCGTTTTAAGCGCGTTTTCGCACACTTCTCCTAGGGAAATGATCGGAAAAATTCCAAACCAGGAAAAGATCAGCCCATATTTAATGTGATAATAAATTGTGAATGAATAGTCGACTGCTCAAACGGGGAGCTCGTAAGCTAACGGAGAATGTACCATTTTTGACGATTTAAATGTCACAAAATCGCCAAAATGAGCTTCGGACGCTAAACTTGGAACACGTCACAGCCCACAACCTTTTCCAGACTGTACAAAAAAATCGTACGTTTTTTTACACCAGCTCAGTAGCGCCCCCTATTGTGCGAAAGTCACATATAGTTTCTCTAAACTACCCAAATCTTGCCACAGACATTCCTCATGGAATTGCGGACATATTTCAAAATGGCTTCCATTAGCCCCACCCACCAGAAAGTTGGCCATTTTGAGAAATCGGTGTTATTCATGCATTTTAAGCGCATTTTCGCAAACACCTCCTAGGGAAAAGATCAGAACAATTCCAGCCCAGGACAAGTTCAGCCCATATCCAATATCATGCTAAATTGCGAATAAAATAGTTGCTAGCTCAATTGGGGCGGACAGAGAATGTACCATTTTTGACGATTTACATGTCGCAAATGACTCCAAACTACTCGCATATAGTTTTCCCGATATTCACGAAACGCTGTATACACATTGCTATTATGATGGCACACATATTTCAAATGGCTTTTCATTAGCCCCGCCCCCCACAAAAATGGCCATTTTTCAAAATGGCCATTTTTTATGCATTTTGAGCACATTTTTGCACACTGCTCTTAGGGAAATGATCGGAAAAAATCCACTCCAGGACAAATTCAGCCCATATCCACAGCCATGCTAAATTGGGAGTAAAAAAGTTGCTAGCTCAATCGGGTCGGTCATAAGCTAACAGAGAATATACCATTTTTGACGATTTACATGTCGCAAATTACACCAAACTACTCGCATATGGTTGTTCCAATATGCACGAGACGTTGTATACATATTACTCTGGCCGGGAACATTTCATTCCAGGACAAGTGCAGCCCATATCCAATGCGATGCTAAACTGCGAAGGAATACACACACACACACACACACACAGGGAGTTAACCCCCCCAGCTGGATGTGAGGAGGAAGAGGATGCTATGGGGGGGGAGCAGAGGTCTGGAGGTGAAGCTGTGCCTAAAGATAAAGTGCAAGGCAGGGGAGGAAAAACTCTACAGACCAGGGTTTCCCAAAACTACTCCCCAGCTAGCAACGAAGCAAAACATAAATTGTTTTAGTTGCTACAAAGATAAGAGAACGTTTATCCCTTTGTAACACAGGAACGTGTCTTGTCACAGATAGCAAATGTGCAGACATGTTATTCACATCAACTTGTTTACCAGTCACCAAAACAGGAAAAGAGAACAATTCTTAGACCAATGGAATGATACATGAATGTTAAGCATTTTTCACGAGCTGGTTATCAAATCTTGGGTGTCAAAGCTTCCTGTTAGCACCTGAACACACAAATGTAGTCTGTTTTTATATAGGCAAAAATGTGCATAGATATTTGCATGGATTTACAACAACCGCTGAAAAAGATGCTTTGAAGAAATGGAAACATATGTACCATTAAAACTAAACTATCTACTATTTTGAGTTACATCATCCCACAGGTATTAATGTTGACAAAAAATGTTTTGTTTGACTTGTGTTATGTTACATTATGAACCTTAGAAGCTGCAGCCTGGTCGTGCAAACAGATGTGGTTTATCCGGAGTCAGCCTATGTCACGGTGACACTCCTCACTGTTCTCTCTGTGCAGTGTGAGAACCGAGTCACACCCGCTTCACCGTGTCCATCCACCACCAAACAACCATAGGGAGGTCATTAACTCTGTGTGAGGGTGGTTGTGTGTCATCCAAAATAGTTTTTATACATTTCAGAAACAGACCTACCAGTCTGGTCAAACAATTCTGTTCAGAGTGTATATTTCAACAAGAATATGATGGCTTCTCATGTTTTTTTTACAGACATTTATAGTCCCCACAGAAATAATCCAAAAGACTTATTTTTTCCTCGGGTCCACAGTTGGACAAACGCCTCACTGGGAACTACTTCTATCTATGCAACAACAAAACAGATCACACAATATCTATGATATAATGACCTGTCTCTGCAAATGACAGTGTCAAACAACATCACACATTGAGAAGGACTTAGCACATAATTGGCACTTTACTTTTAAAATGTTCTTTTGAAACTGATAATCAATACTAGGGATGCACCGATATAAAAAATGGTTGAGCGAGCGTAGTGTCTGGAAGTTTCCTGGCAGTAGCAGCAGTATAACAAAGTCAGAAATATAAACAACGGCCTCCCAAGATCATTGAATGTTGGATTTCATTTACCGATCTTGCACCCCCTCCGCAGCAGAGGCTCCTCAGAGGAGAGGAGACTTTGTATACCGTATGAATGTGAGAAGAGACAGACAGACAGGATAAAGACGCAGCAGCAGGTGGAGGAGGATATAGGTTCTGTTATTACCTGGTAATCAAGGATGCTGAAGCCGAGGCCTTTGCCTCTCTCCTTCTGCAGCTCCAACACCTGCACGTCTGGAGACCACTGGGCCAGCTCCCCTTCATCTTCATCTTCATCTTCATCTTCATCTTCATCTTCATCTTGCTCCTCCTCCTCCTCCTCCTCCTCCTCCTCCTCCTGGCTGTGTTGAGTCTCCATCAGCTCCTCTTCTCCAGGGGATTCCTGCTCATGATACACAGTGACAACGGACACTTGAAACTACTATTGAAGTCATTTCAGAGTAGTAATAGTATTATAGTTATTACTAGAGTGATTATATGATTCTGATGTAGAAGTATTAAGTAAAAAGTTAATGAGGTATATGCAATATTGCACACAGTTGCATCCAAATAAGATGACAACAATATATCAAATGATATGTACAGTGGGGCAAAAAAGTATTTAGTCAGCCACCAATTGTGCAAGTTATCCCACTTAAAAAGATGAGAGAGGCCTGTAATTTCCATCCTAGGTACACTTCAACTATGAGAGACAGAATGGGGGGAAAGAATCCAGGAAATCACGTTTTTAATGAATTAATTGGTCAATTCCTCGGTAAAATAAGTATTTGGTCACCTACAAACAAACAAGATTTCTGGCTCTCACAGACCTGTAACTTCTTCTTTAAGAGCCTCCTCTGTCCTCCACTCGTTAACTGTATTAATGGCACCTGTTTGAACTCGTTATCAGTATAAAAGACACCTGTCCACAACCTCAAACAGTCACACTCCAAACTCCACTATGGCCAAGACCAAAGAGCTGTCAAAGGACACCAGAAACAAAATGGTAGACCTGCACCAGGCTGGGAAGACTGAATCTGCAATAGGTAAGCAGCTTGGTGTGAATAAATCAACTGTGGGAGCAATTATTAGAAAATGGAAGAATACAAGACCACTGATAATCTCCCTCGATCTGGGGCTCCACGCAAGATCTCACCCCGTGGGGTCAAAATGATCACAAGAACGGTGAGCAAAAATCCCAGAACCACACAGGGGCAGGGCCGCCTTAATGCACGGACTGACCTGGGCTGAAGCCCAGGGGCCTACAGAGATTGGGGGCCTATCATGAGCCAATTAAAAAAGAAAAAAAGAAAATCTTTTTTTTTCTTTTTTCGGGTGTTTTATTTTAATTTTAAATAAACAAAGTATTGGCTTTCAGAATATGAAACTTTTATTTCCAAAATCACAAGATAAATACATTTTTGAAGCTTGTAAAGGGAAGAAGACAGCTCTCCCTCGCCACTCTGCTGTTCCGCAGCGCTGCCCCCCTCCCTCCGCTGAAATTATGAATGTAAGGCGTATAGTAATCATAGATAACACATTACATTACATTACATTACATTGCATTTAGCTGACGCTTTTGTCCAAAGCGACTTACAATAAGTACATTCGACCAGGAAGACACAACCTTGAAGAAAACAGAATCATATAAGTATATCAGGTTTCATAGAGCCAAACATTTCAAGTGCTACTCAACTGGCTTTAGGTAATCCAGTCCTTTATTAGTATAAAAGTGCTTCGTTAATCGTTCTAACGCTCGAAGTGGAGTCACGGCAGGGTCCGTCACAGTTTGTTTTCATCTGATCTCAAATAAACAAAGTCTTGGCTTTCAGAATATTAAACTTGTTTCGGCAAATTCAGATGATAAATACAACGTTGAAGCTTGTAACGGCATAATTACAAGCGCAGAACGGAGTAACTTGACGTCACAGCAGGCATAACAACAGCCGGTGTTTATCGTGAGTGTTTTCCCCGGGAAACAAACACAATACACACAAACGCAAAAATACACAAACACACACACAAACACACACACGTATACACACACTCGTGAGCTTCCCCCAGACCAGTAATCCAAATGAAAATATCTTCCCTCCGTACTATTTTGATCATTTGCTCCACTAATCAATCAGATCGATGGATTCCAGAGATGTTTCTCAAAAATGATGACTCCGTAACAGTCAGTAGGCACCACTTAACAGCCAATCAGGATGAGAATATGTTTCACATGTGACGTATTCAAATTGCGACTGATTGAGTGACAGATGAAAATTGTTTAGGAGAAAATGTCGGAGAAGAAAAAGTTTGAGAGTGGCGCTCGGAAAAGGAAACCTAACACTGATGTCAATTGAGCATGACATTCTTCGTGAGATGGATTTTAAGAACATCATAAAGGCTTTTTCGGAAGCACTGCAAAAGAGATAAGGCAATGCTGCACTATTCATTGATTCCCAGTAGCCTGCAGGTTTAAATGTGTTGTGCATCGTTTTACATAACTAGGTTTGTGTTAATCCACCGGAGATAATGATCATTCTCATCTACTGATACCTGGCATTAAGGCCATATGTTGCTGTTCATGGTGCTCAATTAGTGGTGTGTGTGTGTGTGTGTGTGTGTGTGTGTGTGTGTGTGTGTGTGTGTGTGTGTGTGTGTGTGTGTGTGTGTGTGTGTGTGTGTGTGTGCAGAGATTGATTTGTTGTTTAAATAGGGGGCCTACAAAAAAAAATCAGCCCCAGGGCCTGATGGCAGGTTAAGGCGGGCTTGCACGGGGGGACCTAGTCAATGACCTGCAGAGAGCTGGGACCAAAGTAACAAAGGCTACCATCAGTAACACACTACGCCGCCAGGGACTCAAATCCTGCAGTGCCAGACGTGTCCCCCTGCTTAAGCCAGAACATGTCCAGGCCCGTCTGAAGTTTGATAGAGAGCATTTAGATGATCCAGAAGAGGATTGGGAGAATGTCATATGGTCAGATGAAACCAAAATAGAACTTTTTGGTAAAAACTCAACTAGACGTGTTTGGAGGAGAAAGAATGCTGAGTTGCATCCAAAGACCACCATACCTACTGTGAAACATGGGGGTGGAAACATCATGCTTTGGGGCTGTTTCTCTGCAAAGGGACCAGGACGACTGATCCGTGTAAAGGAAAGAATGAATGGGGCCATGTATCGTGAGATTTTGAGTGACAACCTCCTTCCATCAGCAAGGGCATTGAAGATGAAATGTGGCTGGGTCTTTCAGCATGACAATGATCCCAAACACACCGCCCGGGCAACGAAGGAGTGGCTTCGTAAGAAGCATTTCAAGGTCCTGGAGTGGCCTAGCCAGTCTCCAGATCTCAACCCCATAGAAAATCTTTGGAGGGAGTTGAAACACAATCTGTGTTGCCCAGCGACAGCCCCAAAACATCACTGCTCTGGAGGAGATCTGCATGGAGGAATGGGCCAAAATACCAGCAACAGTGTGTGAAGACTTACAGAAAACGTTTGACCTCTGTCATTGCCAACAAAGGGTATATAACAAAGTATTGAGATTAACTTTTGTTATTGACCAAATACTTATTTTCCACCATAATTTGCAAATAAATTCTTTAAAAATCAGACAATGTGATTTTCTGGATTTTCTTTTCTCATTCTGTCTCTCATAGTTGAGGTATACCTAGGATGAAAATTACAGGCCTCTCTCATCTTTTGAAGTGGGAGAACTTGCACAATTGGTGGCTGACTAAATACTTTTTTGCCCCACTGTAGATAAAATAAAATCATACATCAATAATGTCACAGAAGTGTGTAATAGTCCCTCTAACAATACATGTTTTTATTTCAATGTCAAAATCTAATTAATCCAAAACCATTCAGTTTTACAATGATCATGGCTTTGTCCTTCAGCTGGGACTGCCAAAGGTCAGGCCCCAAAAATCAGTTCAACTATCTATTTCTAGAAGTTTAGAAGGCATCTTGCATGTGCAGTAAAACACTGGAGACACAGTGAGACAGAGTGAGACACAGTGAGAGATAGTGAGACACGGTAAGAGACAGTGAGATACAGAGTGACAGAGATATACAGTAAGACACAATGATAGACAGAGAAAGACATTGGGACAAAGTGAGACAGAGTGAGACTCAGTGAGAGTGAGACAGTGAACAAGAGTGAGACTGAATGAGACAGAGTGAGATAGTGAGACATATTGAGAGAGTGACACACAGTGAGACAGAGTGAGGGAGTGAAACACAGTGAGACAGAGTGAAACACAGTGAGACATTGTAGGACATAATGAGACGCAATTGGAGAGAGTGAGACAGAGGGAGAAACTGTGATACACATTGATACAGAGTGAGAAAGAGTGAGACACAGTTAGGCATAGTGATTCACAGTGACACACATTGAGACAAAGTGAGAGAGTCAAAAATGAGAGTGAGAAACAGAAACACAGTGAGACAGAGTGAGACACTGTAAGACAGAGTGAGACACATTGGGACGGAGTAAGACAGAGTGAGACTCAGTGAGAAAGAGAGAGACTGAATGAGACAGAGTGAGACAGGGTGAGAGAGTGAGACTGAGTGAGAGTGAAACACAGTGAGATAGAGTGAGACAGAGTGAGAGAGTTAAACACAGTGAGACACAATAGGACAGAGTGAGAGAGTGGAACATAGTGAGACAAAGTGAGACACAGAGATAGAGTGAGACAATATGGGACAGAGTCCCATTGAGTGAAATGTAGTGAGAGTGAGACACAGGGGGACAGAGAGAGACAGGGAGAAAGAGTGAGACAGAGTGAGACACAGGGGGACAGCATGAGACACAGGGAGACACATTGAGACAGGTCACCTGTTTAAGTGCTTGCTCCTGCACAGTGGCGCTTTGTCTCTTCTCCGTCTGAGTGCAGAGCATGGACGACAGCTTCAGCTCAATCTGAAATAAAAAGCAGCAACGTCAAATTTAGAATTCACCCATTTGATATATTATAAACTGTAGCACAACAATATGTTCATGATGTGTTTTCAACACAGTTATGTCTATTACAGAATAATCATTTAATGCATGTTGTGATCAACCATCTGTGTAAAACGTTTTTGTTTTAAACATATAAATACCTTTACAACACCAGAACAAAACCATTGCAGTAAATATACATTTCATTAATTAGTTTGAGATTTTGCTAAATGTTCATGTCAATTACCAATATTGAATGTGTGTCCCCCTTGTTGCTCTTCATAATCAGAATACGTCTATTAGTCCCACAGAGGGGAAATGTACGTTGTTACAGCAGAAAAAGAGCCAGCTTAATGTTACTTATAAGCATGCATACAAAAGTATTAAAGTTAAAAAGTTATAATAAAAAATATAATACAATTAAAAGTTACACAATTTACAAAATACACATCCTGTAACAGCCAGGTATATATTGCACAGTTATTAAAGGCATATATATATATATATTGCACATAGTTGGTTGGTATTTAACAGCAAGGGGTGTTATAGTCGTCGTGTGTGTGTGTGTGTGTGTGTGTGTGTGTGTGTGTGTGTGTGTGTGTGTGTGTGTGTGTGTGTGTGTGTGTGTGTGTGTGTGTGTGTGTGTGTGTGTGTGTGTGTGTGTTTGTGGAGGGGGGGTCTACTACTTACCTCCTCCACACTGGGTTTTGACTGTCTCATTGGTCCAGGTTGTAGTACGGGATCAGATCCTGGTTCAGATTCAGATTCAGATTCTGGTCCCAGTTCGGAGGTTGGGTGTCGGCAGCAGACCAGAGTAAAAGGGGGCGGCACTTCTTTGAGGAATGCCACCACTTCACGACGAGACTTACCGTACAGCTGAACATCATTCACCTACACACAATACAAACACCAGCTTACATAACCTTTACTTCAACATGAATCAAGATGGCCAACTCGTTCTGAGAATAGCCTTTTTGGCAATATCTCCAAGCCCTAAGGTCATCCATACATTGAAAGAGAGGTCGTTTTATATGGTTTGCTTTAATGAATCAAGGCAGTACATAACATGAGTTTTAAAAGCTATAAAGAGCTAGGTGACATCAGGGGGGTATACTAAGAAGCAAGTTTAACAGAGCCATGGTTTTGTAAAATCTAATAATAATGATAATAATGGGTTCCATTTATAAAGCACTTCATATTTGATTTAAAATCCCGAAGTGCTACAAGTAGTGAGCATGAACAGTATAAGTAAACATTACACAACACGGTAGAATTAATAAAAAGCAATACAAAAATAAAAAATAAATAAAATAAAAGGGTGATAAAAAGGTCGAGGCAAAGGCTCTTTTGAAGAGATGGGTTTTGAGTCCTCATCAGAGATAAGGGATCCTATCAAGGTGGCTATCAACTGTCATTGTGAACCCTGGCTTTCTTCCTCAGGCTCTGAGCGTGCTCATTGAAGGCATCTGGTGCATCATTTGATGCATCAAAGGGAACGATCACTGCAAAGCAACCTGTTGCTGAAAATATTAGAGGAATGCAGGAGGAAATCTACTGTAGCTAGTATGTGTGTAAATTCACACAAAATATATTGAATTGACCAAATGATGCAGTCTGTTCCTCCCGTCTGTTAATAACTTGAAAACTACCCATTTTAGCTCTTAAAATAGAACATATTCCAATGTGGTAAAATGATGGTTTCAAAGAATTAAACCACATTCTGTATTCACGTGAAATTCATTTGTTTTTTTTAATACCAGTGGGCAAATGGCAAGAACATACTAGAGGACATATTATATAAATAATATAAAACAAAATGCACACAATTAAATATGAAAATGTTTCCAAATATCCTCTAAAATAAGAACAACATAAAATGTTATGTATTTTAGTTCAGATGTTCTGCTTCAATAATATAGGCTGCTGCAGAAAAGATAAATGCATGTACAGTTGAGGCCTAAATGATTAGCCCCCCAGGAGTTATGGAACATTTTCCTAAAATTCTTCCCAATGTTTCCAGCATTGATAAAACTTGATATAATCAAACATTCACCAGTGCTATTTAGTAGCTTTGGTACTTTTTGGAAAATAAAATAAGTTTTTAGGCTTGCTTTATATCTAATATAGTGAAAAACGGGTTGGTCAAAAAATATTAGCCCCCATGTGAATGTTTGCTTTCAAAACACACCTAATCAATCAATCAGCTTTCAAGCCACACCTGAGCATTCAATCAGCATAAAAGGACTCCAAGAAACAGGCACATGAATACCTTATTGAGAGGGACTATACTACTACTCCTACTCACCATGCCAAAGACAAAGGAAATCAGTCTTGAGCTCAGAAAGAAGATAGTGGAGGCTCATGATAAGGGGGAAGGCTATACTGCTATTTCCAAGCACTTCACAGTGTCTCGAACTGCCGTACATTGTATCATAGCGAAGTACAAGGAGACACATTCTGTAAGAAATAAACCTGGGCGTGGTCGAAAGCGCAAGATTTCAAGAACTCTGGAGAGGAAAATAGTCAGAGATGGGTGGCACATCAGAGCCAGACTGAGGTTTGCCCGTGAACATTTGAAAGGTAAAGATGAGATGAGAACTGTTCGGGCACATGGATGTTGCTTATGTTTGGCGAAGAAAGGGAGAGGCCTTCAACCCTAAGAACACTTGTGTTATGTGTAACGTTGCTGCCTTCTTGGCCAGGTCAGCATTGCAAATGAGATTTTGTCTCAATGCTTTTATCTGGTTAAATAAAGGTTCAATAAAATAAAATAACACATCATGCTGTGGGGCTGTTTTGCAGCCTCAGGCACAGGGAGCCTTGTTCGGGTGCAAGGCATCATGAACAATTTAAATTATGTTGACATTTTGAGGGATAATATGAAAAAATATGCTCTTCGCTTAGGTCGTCGCTGGGTCTTCCAACAAGACAATGACCCAAAGTACGCATCAAAATTGGTCCAACAGTTCCGAAAGGAAACCAAAACCAAGGTGTTGGAGTGGCCCGCACAAAGCCCAGATCTTAATCCTATTGAGAATCTGGAGGGTGCTCAAAGTGAATGTCCATGCTCGGAAACCACGCAATTTGGACCAGCTGGAACAATTTGCAATGGAAGAATGGGCCAAAATCCCTCAAGAGACCTGTGCCAACCTAGTAAAGAACTACTCTAAGAGCTTGTTGTCAGTTGTGGCTCAGAAATGGTACACTATTGACTATTAATGGCCTGGGGGATGATATTTTTGACCAACCCATTTTTCACTATATTTGATATAAAGCAAGCCTAAAAACTTATTTTATTTTCCAAAAAGTACCAAAAGCTACTAAATAGCACTGGTGAATGTTTGATTATATCAAGTTTTATCAATGCTGGAAACATTGGGAAGAATCTTAGGAAAATGTTCCATAACTCCTGGGGGGCTAATAATTTAGGCCTCAACTGTAACTGCAGCATTAATGTAAAGGTACTGCTACACACGTTTACATATAGAAAGTATTCCCGCAGCTAAGAATCTGAACAGCTCCTAGACTGACTATAAAGTGACAATATTCTATACAAGGAAGAAGTTAGGGCCAATTCCAATCGTAAACTATTAACTGAACTTGGTATGGAGCACGTTATGTTGGCAGCATACATTGCCATGATGATCCAGCCAATTTAAAAGAGAGCCACTTTCTTTATACGGAAAACTCTGAAATAAGGTCAACTAACCTCAATGACCCTGTAATCTGGCTATGTAGAACACCCCTCAGCTCAACATTCAATCAGAATTGCACTTGTTTATAGATGATGACTTCTTGTGCTGACATAAAAAGACCAAAAAACTGTGGATCCAGGGTAGAGCCATGTGGTACTCCTTATGGAGTTTTTTTATCAGCAAAGATGAAGCAATGTGTCTGTGTGCAAAAGTGCAAATGTATCCACCTCCAGAAGCTCGTCCTCTGGTCTCAACACTCCATGTTTCTCCACAGGGCCTCCAGGGACTACTGAGGAGATGTAGTGGTGACCATCGAAGGAGTCCAGCTCCACACCAAGACGCAGAGTGTGGACGGGCAACAGCTGCAAAACCATACATCATAAGGTAAAGATACAAGAAAACTACAGATAATGGAATTCTAACTTTACATCAGGGGCGAGACGCCTTGGACGAAATGCTATCTAGAAACCCATCCATTATCGTCTGACAATAATTACGCTTTTTTTCATTTAAAATAAAACAGTTTAAGGATGTCAACTTGCTGATTGTGTTACATTTTGGTCGTTGGTGTCGTTTTCAACTCCAACCTCGCATCTTAGCAATTATGAAGTGAACTGGAGTGTAAACAATGAGGGGCAAACATAAACAAAGTTTGATTTTATATATGTTTTCTATACTGGAACCCAAATCAAATTGGTTATAGTCTAAATAAGTGTATGTGTTTCCATAATTGATTCAATGCTTAGACCACAGTTAAGTGTGATAAAGCTTCAGTTCAGATGTCTGAGTGTTATACACCTTAGAAGATTTCTGTAGCTCTGCATCATCTTCAATGACAGGATCCAACTTCACCACCTGATAACACACACAAACAAAATAGTCAGTATTGAACATTCATGAAGCTGGACAGTCAGTAAATGTGTAATATTATGAGATCTCACCAGA